CAGATCCAAATAATATAGCATGAAATTCTAGCCCCTTTTAAAAAACATTCATCCACCTTCTTCAAGTATTTTTTTCTTTATTTTTTATTTTTATTTCGTTTTCATTAAAGGGACATGGTACACAAGCATCCCTTTCGAGGTTTTCCTTGTTTGAAAATAAAAAAAATTCTTTATTATCCCTTTATACTATATGGAGATATAGCTGCAAGGTTCGACCTTTAAACCGATGGATGGAAACGGATTGCGTATGGTCACCTCATTTTCCATATATGAAAAATCGAAACTACGACTACATTGAATGCTGGTTAACCATGTGACTTTAAGTCGGCTTATTATAGGGGGTTGATGTAATGACTGCAAATTCGCACATAAAAGTGTTACTCCACGTTGCAAACTCCCATAAAAATTACAACTATAGCGAAAAGCGACATCTAAATCTGCAGAAACCTTCAAACTGCGAACCTATGATAGACCCCCTTTTAAGCATGTGACTAATATGATAACATGAATATATATTGTAGGTAACTATATCAAGATATGTCAAAATAAAGTCTGTGATGCTCACATTGACGTGTGGTTCTACGAACGATATCCAGGAGACAGACATATGGTGAAATACTTCAAAATGCGATTCTGGTCACTRCGAGAAACAATAYTATTTCCAACMAGCTGGCAGTACTTTGAAGGAAAGAAATATCGATTTCCAAGAAAGATTATCAAATACCTTGACCATGAGTACTCCACGGGCCTGATGGCGGGCTATAGGAACTGGAAGACAGTCTTATTGTGTAATCACAAACGTGGACGCAAATGTACATTTTATTCTGATAAAAATAATTGACGGAATGTTTGGTCTTATGAAATTGTATTCCAAGACCGCAATGCATTGTTGGTATTCATTCTATCGCAGTTCAAAAGGAGTTTTCGTGGCTTCAGAGTGATTGTACCAGCTCACGCACAGTCAAGAACCTTAGTGAAACTTAGGTTTTGAATTGTCATTTTGTAACGCAGCAAATGTAGATTTTAATAGTAACGATGTATTGCGGTCTTGGAATGCTCTATTCAGAATACAGCATTCATTATTTAACGTTTTCTGAAATAGCTTTACACACAAATTGTGGCATTATCTGGTAGCATTATGTGACTGTATTTGAATGCAAAATTAGTCACATTTGTAAGATCTTGATATACACTTAAATCGTAGACACAATCAATTTGGTGATATACCATCCTCGGAAATCTCGAAAGCATAAAGCCCCGTCTACACGAGCAATTTTTATGTGGCAATTTTTATGTGACAATTTTTAATTGCCCGTGTAGATGAGCAAAATTGGTCAATTTTTATGTCACAACTGTAGTTACTGGAAAGCTGACATGCTAGTTTTTATATGACAACTAAAAATTACCACATATCGAAATTGCCCGTGTGGACGAGCGTCACATAAAATTGCCACATATAGTTGTCACATAAAAATTCCTCGTGTAGACCGGGCTTAAAAGCAAATTGGTTTCCGAGGATGGGTAMGATATTTATATATTTCCAAATGTTTCAATATATGATAGGGTCATGTTTTCCATGATTTATAAGTTCAGGATAAAMATTTCACATGATAGGAAAACCAAACTCATCGTATGAAATCTGAGGCTGGKGCTCAGGTTCCMCAGGRGGAGGTTCATAGCCAAGATCGGTGTCCGGCGTAAAGTTAATCAATTTCAACTCCATTAATACTGGCTCTACTGGAGACTTTGACCACGCCCGAGATATATCCTTCTCATAACGGTCGGAATGTTTATGAAGCTTTTSAATCGTGTTAAGAAAACCATAGCGATCTAGCGAACTCTCGCGGGACAGTGACCCRAGTCCCGAGCTTTTCCTCGAGGCCGATGCACCGKTCGACCCTTTTATTCTTGGTGCTTGAGTCTTTTCCCTCCGTAGAGGCGTAAAAGGAGTGAAGTTCCTGATATAGCTACAAGATTGRGATCTTGTAAGACCTCTWATACGACYTACACGACTTGMGATACCACTATCACCCGTCCCGGGAGGGGTAGGGGTGAAAATGACTTTAGGTAAAACGAACTGTGGCGACGGTAATTGTTTGTTAGTCAGCTCGTCTAAATCACTGAGGTCGTCTTGATCTAAAAACGAGTCGTTCTCAAATGTGTACAACTCATCGTYCTCTTGTTGTTTACTTAAGTAACTGCAAATAAAGGCATTAAAAGGTTCCCTATCCAGATTAAACGATGAMGGGTTCTGTTCGTTTTCCCTCAATGCCTCGATTCGTTCACTAGCTTTAATACAATCAACACACAAACGAGGGCCAAGTAGCTCACAGAAATGTCTGCCCAACATCACGTCTTGCATGGCAGCACGACGGTCGCAGAGCGCGTCCTGACCGGTTGGTAACGCGCTTGTAATTCTGTGCTTGATGACCTTCAAATGCATCTTCCTCGGAGACAAACAATCAGGATTTGAGCGATTTGAAATCCAWGGAGAAAGCCCCGCAGAAAGGATTCTTTTCTTCTCCTTTTGTGAGCGAATTTGACGATGCAACTCAGTTGTTAGTTGAGTATATAGCAACGGGACGTTCCCTCGTTGTGTAGTAATCTCTTCAACTGTTTGCTTTAGTTGTTTCCTTTGTACAAGACGTTCACAAGATTTTGTGGACAGAAAAACAGTCATTATTGTACACAAATGTGTCTMAAATAACGTAAAATGATAAAGCTACARCTTGAAATCGAAACAGCTCTAAGATATCATCRGGYTMGCGCTCTGTGATGTACCTAGTCGAGAAAYGTGATACAYYAWGGGAATGTGTTAGGAATTAATTGAAGTTCTGTCACCTTAATTGACATGTTGTTGAMGAGTATTGTTCATTTGATTGTTACTAATTGAAAAAGGTTTGGATAACACAGCGATGYCTAGTCCATTTAWAGAAAGTTWAAAGATTTATTTTCRYAACCTYAGAAATCATTGARGTTTTATAAAAGTCGTTTTATTTTTGCTGTGAAGGAATTTAATAGCGTGACTAGGTGGTCACGCAATTGTCTAGTCATGCAGTCGACTTGCACACATAAG